GATGCCTGTGGCATGAAACTCCCATTCCCAATCTGCTGCCTCCCGCTTTCTTTACATGACCCTCTGTTTTAAACAATAAATATAAAAAAGTCCCATCTACCTGCTCTCTAATTATTCCACATAGTCAGGGGCCACACTGCAAATACCCATGCTGCCTCCTTGCGCTGCGAAATGGCATCACAATCACAAGACAGGGGCCAGCAGGGACCAAAACCCACGCAAAAACCCACAACACACAGGCAGAGCACGTCACGGCAGCTCAAACCACTTCGCCCTCCCTCCGAAGGCGTCCCCACGGCGCGGCTCAGCACCCCTGGCCCAGCAGCCAGAGGGAATTGGACAAACCTGAAGCATTTGAGACTTCCACAGTGGCAGTTTGGCAGCGTCCCCCCGGCACTAAATTATTAACTTTTGCCATTGAAATGCGCTGCAAAGTGCAAGTAAACATGAGCAGCAGATGGAGATTCAGTGCAAGCCCAGGGAGGCGATGGCGACCCGCGGACCCGCTGCCTGCACTTGGACAAGGCACAGGCTTGACGCTCCTCAATTTTCTCCTTCTCCCGTGCTCCCCACTTGGGTCTCCACAGAGATCATTCACCTCTGAGAAAGACACCAAGTCCCTGCACCAAGAGGTTTCAAGGGAAAAACATGGTGCTCCAACAGCAGAGGCATCTCAGCCTGCAAAGGAATTGAACCCATAATTAACCCGCGGTTAACGAGTCTCTATACGTACATGAGAAGCATGAAGTAGCCCGAATTTGTCTCGGGCCTGTTTGTGCCTCTGTCCTGGTCCCTGTGTCCACGGGCTGAGACTTTCCGAGTTACTTGACACAAACCAGAGCCACGGCCTGACCGTGATCGGAGCACGCGGCTCCACAACTGGAACGAACGAGGAGAAAAAAAAAAAACAAAAAAACAAACAACCAAACTACATATTTCATCCTCCTCTTTTGTGGCTTTTATTTTCTTTTGTACTCACTTTGGGAATAACATTCTTTCCATTGGGAAGAGCCTGATTTTCCATTAAATACAAAGCAGCTGCCATTTTGGAAACAAAAAGTTGATTAAATACAGATTTTTTACATTTTTTTTCCCTAACATAGGAGGAGTTAGAACCACGCTTCTTTCTGTTGATTTATCAGTGAAGCATCTGCCAATTAAGGCAGTAGGAGGACTTAAAGAGCGTGAACTGAATCACTTCATCTTTTCTATGTAGTTTTATAATGATAATTTGGTGTTATAAATAAAAGGGGAAAGATCTTGAGGCTTGGAGCACTGCACACTGCACTCATCCTGGTGTCAGAGCCCTCCGACACGCTGACAAAGAGGCTTCCTCACCCTTCACACACACAAGGATGCTCCAGATTCCCCGTTTACGCAGATTTCTGCTTGCCGAGACACCGAAGGAAGGGTCGGGGCTGTTGCCGTGACGTACGGCCGCCTCTTGGAAACGCAGCTAAGACATGACTTAAGGCCCAGATGTTGAACAGACTGGAAAAAAGGATGAGCTCAAACCAAAAAAAAAAAAAAAAAAAAAAAAAAAGACCAAAAAACAACCCACCACCCACTCCATTTCCACTCCGTGAGCCATCAACGCCCAGTTGAGGAGATGATTTTTTTTTCCCCCAAGCAGACCGGATTACTGAGTGACCGACACAAGCAACACATGAAACTTCAGCTCACATTACGTTTCCGAAAGCTAAATCTTAAATTAAATTTCCTTTCTCAATATTGAGACGTTACAGTTGAAAAACTCAGAGAGAAGAGGGATGGTGAGAGCTGTAGAAATTACTGTTGTCTTGCGTTTTGATTAACCCATCAGACTTTACTTATTTATTGCCATTCACGAAACACGACGAAGAAAGGACACGGCACGAGAAATCCATGAGGATCTGCACTTTTCAACGCTTTTCTTGCTCTCTCTTGCCATTACACCTAACCTAAGCTGCAAGACCCAGGGAGAACTCTGTGTAAAGACACCCCTACGGTGGTCAGGAAACAACGTGTCCTTAATTGCAGCCACTTCAACCCCATCAACGACACCCAACCGCGCCTACCGGCTCCGAATGACGGGCACAAGCTCCCAACCCTTCTCCCTGCACCTTCAAATCAAGGAACCCCAGCACGGGGACCCCAAAGGACGCGTCACGTGAAGGTTGGGCTCGTCTAGGGCAGGGGGGTCTCTTCCCATAGGTAGGTTAAGGAAGACAGCCAGGAGTTTTGGAAGCAGCTGGGGTGTTCATCGACGTTCCTTTGCACATTCACAACTCAAGAAGAACCGCACAAGTTTTTAGGTTGCCAGTGGATGAAACAAGAGGAAAACTGAAAATTGCAAAGTCTATTATTTCGCTTAAATTTCAGCCTAGACGGGGAGAAAAAAAAAAAAAACAACCAACCAAACCCAAACCCATACTTTAACTTCTGTTTGGGTTTTTGGAAGGTACACTCTGGGACTCTGGTGCAGGAAGCAGCAGGCATGTTTGAATTCCTCACACTGAGGATGGATTTTCAGTTGCCAAATTCCCCATCCCGCACATCTGATTCTTTGTGTATGTACGTGCATGCAAAAAGTAAGCATAAAATAGCTTTATAAATCTAGGTTTGTAAAATAAAAATCAAAGCCAAACATGCCAAGGTGACTACACAAAGGGAAGCAATACCTAGGGAAGCGTGCACACCCTGGTTTAAAGGATTTATGAGACTGGGCATTTTAGCTTCAATTAATTTTCAAAGTGCTGAAAGCAGACAAGAAACCATGTAATTACAAGATAACTTGGCTTACCCGGATTCGAGTTAACTAGCGCTCCTGGGTTAATCAGAGGTCAGCCTTCTCCCCAGCCAACAAAGCTAAATCCACTGTACTTGAAAGCTTTGCTCCTTGCTTTAAAGCAACCGTGAGCTCTTGTTTCGACCCTTTCAATTTTGGTGAGCGTTTGGGATTTTGGAGAAGACGAGGAAAGCGATGCCCAGGCGCCAGCCCGCAGCTCGGCGGGCAGCTCGGGACAGCCCAGCCGGGCAAGCACTGCTCCAGTGCCCAGCCCAAACCTCCCCACCAAGGCACCCTGGGTGTAAGGGCATTCTGCCCAACTTTCAGGGCGAGCTGGCCTGAGTGACACCCCCCAGGAGACTCGGGTCATCTCTAGAGAGCGGAGGAAGCCCCTTGAGGACCATACAGGGAGGATTTGGGATGCTGCTCGTGCCCTGTCCATGTCTGCATCCCAGGCAACTCGCTTTTCCATGTGGGTCTGTATCTACACCACCAAGAAATTTCCAGGATTAGCCACAACTACTTCCCACCGGACATTTTAAACTCCATTACAATTCCCCCTTTGTCCTGCTATTTTGCGCAAGCAGATTTTTATTTTTCAACATCTTTTAGACAGACAGATTAGTGATTTATTTCCACCAATTAATACAAACTACCTAGAGAACAGAAGATTAGAGGGGTTAAAAGGAAAATTAGAATTTGTTGCAGTTAAAAACAAAACCAACTAAAAGCAGGCTAGCAAAGTCCCACCATATAAAGGGATTACTCCGTTCCTGACCCTTTCCAGGGGACCTCCAGGTATTATTTTTCATTGATTTACCTTAATGAAACTAATGCACCCCTCTCCATAGGAAGCTGACTCCATAGCTGTCTAGGCACTGGATTCAATTAAAGAAATAAATACATCTGGCTTCTAAATGGTTGAAAGTCTTGAAAAGCCAGAGGCAATACCAGTTGCTGCATCTGTCTCTCTTAGGGTACGCCCTAAGGACACCGCATAAGATGATCGACATTCAACACCGCTCCTGGAAACCCGCAGCCGTGGGGGGATGCCCGAAGCATCCCTGCCTGCTCCCCAGCGGCGCGGGCAGCTCCCGCAGCCCTGCCAGCAACCCAGCCCCAGCTTTGATGGAAGTTGGCCTCAAATTGCTTTAACAAGGCTCTTTCTTTCCAGAAGCTGGCGTTGATTTGAGACCTCACTGTTGACTTAGAAACCCCCAGGTGCCCAGCGCCTGCAAATACTCAAGGCTTAGCTATGCTCAGTTTCCAGGAAAAGGGTTACAAGCATCCAACCGCGGCATGAAATATCAATACTACCATGGCAGCTCAGCATTAAAATGAAGAGCAGGAGTTAAAGGCTGAAAAGCAGAAGCTGGGATAGAGGCTATGCCTCCGCGCCGGCCGCATCTCACACCGCAAAACTGCGTCGAGCAGGGCTGCACTGACAAAAAACAAACCAACAAACCACGAGGCACGCTTTGCTCGCACGTGCCTTGGCTCGCAGACATGGCACTAGAGGAAACAAGGTAGCTCGAGAGCACCTTGTTTGCCATCTAGCCATGGAAATGCTGCTGCTTATTCTCCCGCACATGAAACAAGCAGAAATGACAACGATTAGAGGGATTTGTTGAACCAGAAGGCAGGTCCACAAGGTCTCCTTTGTGATCTTTGTGCTAACTGCCCTAATCCAAATAGGGAGAGAAGTAAACGTCAAGAACCCGCGCTGTTTTCTGGATAAAATATTATTCTACCACTCTAGCTGAAGGGAAGACTGAGTGGTCAAGCCCCAGGTCGGAGCACTTAGACCAGGAGGAACATCAGGCTGAAATCCCCCTGGGGGGTTTGTCTGAACAAAATACAGGGAGTGAGGCGAGGGTTTTTACAAAGATCTTTTCTCTTCCAAGCAGAGGTTGAAGATCCCATCATGCTTTCCCTAATAACAGACATTTCCCTTAATTCCCCACACATTTAGGGATGCACAGGGGATAAAAGTTAAACGTAACATGCTCTAAAATTTAGCAGTGCTCCTGCAAGGGCATGCTGGTGAGCAACCTGTGTGGCAGGAAACCCTTTCCCCCCGTCTCCTATTTAACCTATTGATTTAAACTTCTACTCAAGCTTTTCCTTTCCTCCCTTCTGAGACAAAGGACTTTTTCTGGTTCAACTCACCCTCTAACATTTGAGGTGCAAGCAGAGCAGACCAAATGCGCACGACACGCAGTCTTGTACTCACCGACATTGTAGAGTGGACATCTACATCCCCCTACAGAGGACAACACAGGGAGTTTAAAGTCAAATGCAGAAGAGAGCAAAGCAACAGTGAGAAAAGCAGAGAGGTACACAGTGGGCATTGCCCGCAGGTGCCTACAACCCATCAACGGTCCAACCGAGGTACCGGCGGCTCAGCAGTTGGCAGAGTATTAAAAAAAAGCAAAATATGGGTTCCCTGAATCTGGTCTAAGGAGGATGAGGAGGAAATCAAAGAACCACAGATCAGTTTTATAGTATTGAGCGTGGTCTGCAAGTCAACGTGCAGATGCCTGAGCTTTCCCACCTGTAAGATGGAGGCGATGGACGCCAAACCCTAGGGAGTGACAGCAGGGATCAGCTCAAGAAAAACTTGCTCAGCTCTTCTGAGGCCAAGGGGACGTTATCTAAGTGAGGACAGGACTCTTGCAAATCTGAAGGTGTCTTTGGTGCTCGTATGATGTTTTCATGGCAGTTATTTTCCACTTGGGTCCCTCCCAGCGTGGTCAAGGTTGTGGTTGGTGCAAAGTTCAAGGCATTTTACTTCCATGCACAGTGCCTTGCCTTTTAAAAATATTACAGAGGGATTTGGCCTTTTAAATAAAAACATAGGTAATCATTCTCTTTAAAGAGAAAATAAACACTTCCAAAGCTCTTTCTACCAAAGCAAGAGCTGCCGTGGCCAGCGTGTTCATTTGCAACTGGGAAGAGATGCCAATACGGTGAATAAGGCAAAAACGTTGCAGGCAGAGCGGCCGCGGCAATTCGTGCGGTTCCAGCTGAAATCTGTGCCTGCCATCTGGCAAAAATAAGCACAAAAGGAAAAAAAAAAAAAGGCAAAAAAACCCAACCCCAAAACCCCTTTGCAGAGTTCACACTGAACTGCTCAAGACGGCAGAGGTTAGAGTTTGTTCGATCGCTGAAAGATTGCTTCCCCTTCCCGGGTCAGCATCACCTCTTGACCTGCCCTGATTACCTTCCAAAGGAGGTTATCAAGATACAAGACTAACAGAGGATTAAAGGAAACTTAAAATAAAAACAAAACACCCCCCTCCCCTTCCCCCAACTCTGCTCCCCTCCCCCAAGAAAACATCCTTGCTTTGTTAACCTGACAGTTCACTGTAGGTGTTGACACAACCCTCCATCTTTGAGAAGCTTAATGTCAACAAATCAGTGTGTTTGGAGTAGCCCTGTCAATGCGATTTACATTAACTTGTCTAACAAGAAATAAAAACAACAATCAGCCATCAAAGACAAAAGGCTTTTTCAGTCATTCTTTTAAAAGTATTATGCTGGAAATGTTAATTTTTGAGGCCATGGCCCTTTACTTGTTGAAAACCAGAAACCACCTTCTTTTTTTTTTTTTTTCCTGAAGTGCTCTTTTTTTTAACTTCTTTTTTTTTCTTTAAAAAAAAAAAAAAAAAAAAAAAGTATTTTCTTTTAAAGGAGGCCCGAGCATCCCATGTTAATAAGCTCCCCAGCAGCTGTAACCGACTCTCCCTGGTTAATGCAGGAAGAGGGCAGCCTTGAAGCCAAAATGTTAATTATGCTTTGATTTCCACCAGCGTGTTATTTGCTTTTGAGACATTTTGGGCACTTAGCGGAGCATTTTCGAATTGTGGCTCTAAACCACCATGAAAATTTCAGGCAGCAGTGGTATGCACCAAAACCCCGTTAACTTCACCATGACCTTTTCCTCCCCAAGCACATGCTGCACCCACCCGTGTGCCCTTTGCCAACGGGGGCTCAGCGTCCCGAAGCCAAGCTGCAAAAAGCAAATCACTGCCAAGGGTTCCCAATATCAAGCGGTTTCCAACATCTCCCACAATGTCTACGCTGATGCTCTAAAGGAAAAATTAAGGATTTCAATTCCTGCTTGAACACTAGAGAAAGTGGAGACTCTTTCAGCCGCTCCACAAGCCAGGACTAGCTTCGGTCTGGGTTATTTTGGGGGGAGTTGGACACCAAGATGAGAGAGGGGGTTGATGTCCCATCCCTGGAAATGTTCAAGGTCAGGTTGGACGAGACTCTGAGCAACCTGCTCTAGCTGAAGATGTCCCTGCTCATGGCAGGGAGGTGTGTTACCGCTGGACTAGACGACCTTCAGAGCTCCCTTCCAACCCAAACTATTTTATGATCCTATGGCCTCCCGAGGTCCCTTCCAGCCTCAACCACTCTGCGATTCCCCCCAATAAATACAGGAAAAATTCAGCCTCATTTATCCAGAAAGACAAAACTTAATGCCCAAATCTTGGCTCGGGGTCACTTTTTAGCTCGCTCAGCAACTCTGCTCCTCTTCGCCCCTTCTCCGAAATGTTGACTTGTTGAGTCAACTGGACCCCTCGAGGCCATTTGATCTGCCTCGCGGCGAGCTGGAGCCTTGACCCCAGAAAAGTTTCCTGCAGACGAGCGGCCCCATCCGAGACAATGGGATTACTCACACCCGTCATGTTAAGGAGCCGCCTGCATTTTTGCAGGCTCAGGACTTTCGGCTCCGTTCTATTACAGGACAGAGCTTTTTGTTGGTGTAATTTTAGCACGGTAACTGCTGACATGCCCAGGCTGAGTTTCTTTGATCAGCAGGTGAAGGTTTTTCTTGGTGTAATTACTGTTGTGACAAAAGGCAGGTGAGTAGCTGAGCTCCTGCCACTTAGTCATCTCCTGACACTGCCACTCTCTTCTTCTCAAAAAACTCCTGCAAGTTCAAATACTAGGAGCACACTTTTCACTTTTTAAAATAGTGTAAATTCAACACAAAGGCACCCGATTATCAGCTCTGGAGGATGGGGATGTTTCCAAACCAGGCAAGGACGTGAGAAGAGGCAGGGACGGTGTTGCACGGAGTCCATTTCTAAGAATGAGAAGCTGCTCCAAGGGTGCCTTACCCCAAGGATGCCCCTCCAAGGATGCTGCACAGTCACTTGTGGTTTTTTGTGAGCTACTGGCAGTGTGGAAATCCTGTATTTTATAGCTGGACCAGGCTGCAAACTCCTTCAAACAGGGCAGCAACTCCTCTTAGATCATAACATTACAGTGCTAAGGATTTGGGCTGGACTCAGACCAGCAGTACAGAAACTGCTCTACCTTGCCACTAGCAACCCTGTAATATCCTCTTTCCGCTGTAATTCACCCTTTTGGGACACAATTCCTTTTCCCCTTGAACCCTTCTCACTCTTTCCTTTCACAAATGAAGCTCATCCCACATTTTTGGTGCTTTCACAAACATCGTCATTTTTCTGCGTTGCTTTAGAGAGATGTGGGCTGCTCTGCGCCTGATCTCTAATATTTCATTTAGCAAAGTGCAGAAATTTTAAGGTGTTTCTAAATAAGCCACTAGAAAAAGGCCCTTGAACCTTACAAGAATGAAGCGGCAGAGACACCAAAGGAGCTGGGTGCCTTTTAGATGTACCCTGAGTCTTCCTGACTTGCTCTCACCCACCACTGCCCGCAAGGGTACCCAAGGACCCCTCAGCAATGTTCAGTGATGGCATCTGGCACTCCTCTAAAGGAAGATACTCCAATATAGATAAAAAAATCCCAGCCCTGCATCTCCTCCAAACCACTGAACCCAATCTACAGCTTCACAAACTGGATGGCAGCACCTGATGGACTCGCCCCGCCCGGCTCACCAGGCTGTCAGAGGATCATGCTTTGGAGATAAGGTGCTGCACTGCAAATGCAAACAGCTTTCTCCTCAGCTGGGTCCTTTCTAATCTAGTTCTGGAAGAGAAAAAGGCTGCTTTGATTTGTCTCAGTCCTTTTTAGACCAATTAGCTGTCCTCCCCGTCTCCAAAACAATTTTGACTCACTCAGAAAAGAAACATTAATATTAAAGGAAGATAAATCACTCAGGTCTATCTCATAAATCATTGTGGGCATCTCTCCCCATCCTCATCTCTCCTGCTAGCCGTGCTTCATGCTCTGGTGCAGAGACCAATCTCCCTGTCAAATCCCATTACTTGCTTGCATAAGTACTCCCAGTATGATTTGTGGAAACGGTCTCCAGGTGATAAACCACGCCTGTGCAGCCATATCTTCTTTTTTAAGGAGAAATCCAGCCGTTTCCAAGCACCTCCTGACTCCAGAAGGCACCTGCCCCGTGCCTGCCCGTGTGGCCACCAGCCACCCTGCTCAGGGCTGCCAAGAGAGGGGACACATTGGCAACAAATGTGGCCTGGAGATGGATGAAAGCCCTTCCGACTTCTCTTCACAGGAGGCAACGCTTTATTTAGCAGATAACAGAGCCAAGAAACCACCTTCTCCTCCACAACACCTCCAGGTACAGAGAATTGGGAAAACCACTTTGATTTCTCTTGTGGTGGCTTCTCCATCCACAGCAAAGCACTCCTCACCTCCATCCAGCCAAAGATACAAACCATGTAGAAGGCTGCACAGTTTGGGGGCTGTGACACCTCCTAAACCAGCTCTGGAGGGCTTGAACATCCTTCCAGTGGAGCAATCACAGTGGCATGAACAAGCAGAATGGAGAGACAGAAACTGCCACTGTGGATTATTAAGTCTTTTCTTCCTGTTTATATCCAGACTCATGAAAGATGCCCAGTGTGCACCAGTGTGCTATAATCCAGTGTGCTATAATCCTGGGCACCCAGTAACAACAAATAAATAACAATCCAGGAAAGAAGAAAGATTTGAAATTGTTTTTAGGAACAAACATAGTGTTCAGTGGATTTGCTATTTCAAAATACCTGCTGATTGAAGATACTCATAAGTATATATCCAGCCAAACCTTATTTAAAGGAAAAAATGCTGAGCAAAAAATGAAACTCCCTGATGATTATATTTTTCCTATTCAACGGGACGCTGCTCAGCTAACTGCAAAAAGCAACATAAAATACATTTTTTGAACGTAATAACAGCATAAACACAGGCATATTTTAGACAGCAGAGAAAAGAAAGAAACATATTCTGCCTTCCAACGGAGCAGTATTTTGATGTAAGGCATCCAGTGACTTGACAAACCTTTGGAAATGCATCTGCAGTCCAAGTAATAGACACCCTTACACTGGGATCTCTCGAAAAAAAATCCTGAATGTCCATTAAGCTCAAAGTTGACATGTCTAAAATCTACGTGGCTAGTGAATTATGATCCTACTTCTGCAGGGTGGACTGTGATATTTCCCTTGTTCACGTACAAGTAGACTTGCAAATACTTGGGGAGACTCTCACTGAAGCCCAACTTCTGGATCATATGAAATAGCTTACTTTAAAAATGGATTTTTTTATTTCATAACACTTGACACTCCAAGGCCCCACTTCCATCACACTCCACAAAGCCTGAGCAACCACAGCACTGTCGGATGCCCGTGTGCTCCCCGGACCAAAACAGAAAGGAACTGGGTGGAGGTGGCTTACCGGGAGGTGGGTGAACACAGCAAACGTGCTGCGTAGGAACCCGATGAGATCCACAAGGTAGTCACTGGCCTTGCTGCCCGGCTCCATGGCCATCCAGTCGTAGTCCGCCAGCTGCAAGAACTGGTCTATCTTCTGGTTGAGGTTAGTGTAAATCTCCTCCTCGGCAGCATGGCGGGCGTCCTGGGAAAGGAGACAACCTTACGTGGGATGGAGTCTTCACTCCACAATCTACACAAGTAACAGGACCTGAGCTTGACTCAACCTTTAGCCCTAAAGGGAGCACAAGGCTCAGCTTAGCTCAGACTGGGGGGAACATGTGCCACCAGGGCAGTGGTGGGCAAGACCAAGGTGGTGTCTGTCTATGACACAACCTGAGGGCAAATCCAGTGCAGGATGGAAGAGAGACAGAGAGATGGAAGAGGAATGTCCCAGATGGACAAAAGGTTGAGAGCCACCAATCTGTGTGCAGGCGTGGGCCACAGAGTAAGGGCTGGAAAACTCACCCTTAGGCCAAAGGGGTAGATGATGCCAGAGGGGACAACGAATGGACTTCCCTGGGGACACGGGGCCTAAGTCTCCTGTTATCCCAAGGGCAAACCTCACCCAACAACTCCCTACGGTCGCCCGAGTCCTCAGCGCTGTTCCCATGTCCTGCTCTCCAGCTGCGGGACTCAATTCAGACACCCCACAGTTGACCTAATTATGGCCTTAAGATTTCATAGGAAGTATCTGGGTGGACACTCCTGGGTTAAGATTTAAAGACCGCAAAGCCTAGCAGTTTCAGCCAGCTCAAATTTTTCAGGGGTAACGTTAAAAAGAGCAGAAAGATACAGAGACAGAAGTTCTGAAAATCTATTCTCCTCTTGGGTGAAAGAGGAGAGCTGGGGTTCACAGCCAACAGTAAAATGAAAATTCATTAAAAAAAAAATCATGCTTTTGCTTAAAAGCTGCTTAATCCTTTAGATAGTAAGTGCTGCAATGTGAATTAGGGTACAAAGGCTCACGATCTCGACAGAAGTAACGCTCCGAAGGACAGACCCAAGAGCCAGGCTGACGGCATAAGCTTCCCAGGATATGACAAAATTACCTTTGGGCTCAGCTTAGCTCCCTACATCCCCACATCCACACACGTGCTTTGAGAGCAGATACTCTCTGAGCAAACACCAAGAGCAACTCCCTGGAGGTGGATCTACCCCAGGCTTCTCACCTTGAAGGTTGTGGTCCCGTAGAGTTTTGTAGTGTGGACAGTTTCTGGAAGTACATTAGTGATATTGGTTATGAATTCCTCTAGGAACTTGCAGGATTTCTCCAAATGGGTCGTATTTATAATAATCTGTACAAGCTGCAAAGGCAAAAAAAGGGATTCAACCATGGTGCTCCTGAAGGCAGGGACGTGCCAGGTTAATGGATGCCAATTTTTAACAACTTCTGGCACGAAAAGCTGACGCTGTACAAACATACTGAGCTTTGCTACACACTCAAAGGCTCTCCAGGCTCTCCTCCTTTAACAACATCAGAAACTTAAATAAAAGATAATAATTGGGGGGGGGGGG